TAGACTTTCCTTCCTGTCCCCATTTTCTTCCTAAAAGTGACTGCCTCTTCTGCTTGAGTATCAGGGTCTTTGATACTTTGGCTGTTTAATCTTTACTTACTGTGGCCAGTCAACTTACCACTGCTTTCTCACCCCTCTCCTTAAAAAGTTTGTCTTGAGCTGAAAATTGATCATGAATGAATTGGCCTGGAGAAGGACAACCCACCTCTCCGAAGCCAGGCTTGCTTTCAAATCCAGCAGGGATGTTCTAGGTGTCTCCAGCAATCTTTTTTTTTCATTATGTTATGTTAGTCACCATTATGTTATGTTAGTCATCATTAGTTTCTGACATAGTGTTCCATGGTTCATTGTTTGCATATAACACCCAGTGCTCCATGCAATACGAGCCCTCCTTAATACATTGTGGTACTTTTGTCCCTGCTTCATTAGAGGGTGGGAGGGAAAAGTTCCTGTGATAGTTGGGCCAGGGTCCTGGAGATCCCCATCCCCCAGCAACACCCCCAAAATGGCTCTAGTAGACTACAATATAAGCCACTTCATGCAGCAATCCAGGCTTATCAATGCAACATCAACATCAACCCAGCGTCTACATGTCTGAGCCAAACGTTGTGCAGACTTGACCTGGTGCTGTTCTTTCAAGGATCCAAAGGAACAAATCTTATTAACAACCACACTCCTCTGTTTTGTTAGAAGAGGCCAACGGCTTGTCCATCGGCCATTTTGTAAATGGTTGAGCTGGAATTTAAGCCCAAGACCTTGGGATTCCGAAGACCTTGCATTTTGTTAGTACACTGAACTGTTTCTTTCCAAATCCCCAGTTAATAAAAACAGCCAATATTGATTAGGCCAAGCACTGTGCTATGTGCTCGTCATGAATTATTCCATCTAATCCTGGCAATGCAATAACAACAAGACAACCATAAGAGACAACCAGAAGTTGTCACTATTATCTTTCCCATTTTACATATAAGGAAACGAGGGTAGAGAAAGGAGGTCAATGAAAGTCAAAGAGATGGTAGGTGGCAGACTGGAGACTTAAACTCAGACCTTTCTGCTTCCAGAGTACAGGCGTTAACTACTAGACAACATTGCCACTTGGCTGTCATTTAAATGTGAGCACTGGAGGTATGGGGCTGGGAAAGAAAGCAAGCTAGCCCCAGAGTTAGTGAGAATTCGCCATTTGATTTTGTTCCTTCACACCACAAGCCGTCCCACAAGAACTGGAATGACTTCATATAGTTTATTTTTCCAACCCATTATCTCTCCAGTGGAGGGCTGGGATTGTTTTCCGTCCTGTTCTGAGCATCTCCTCCCACTTCAGAATCGTCGGATTCCTGCCAAGTTCCCTGCCCCAGAGATGGGCAGTCCTTTTTGTGTGTGTACTCCTGGGAACTTTACTGATCAGAGAGAAGTGAATATGTAAAGTCCCCATTTCTATACCAGTCCAAGACAAAGCCCAGCTGTTTTCTAGACACTGCCAGGTAAGGCAGGTAAATGAAAGCTTTTTTGTGAGGTGTTTGTGTGTGTGTGTGTGTGTGTGTGTGTGTCTATCACAGGGCAGTAAAATATTTACAGAGCCCTGAATTTAAAATCCAAAGGCCTAATTTCAGGTTCTGACAATGTCGCTTATCGGTTGGTTGACTTTGGGCAAGGCTCTTAACTTCTTTGACACTTTTTTTCCTTAATGCAAAATAAGGATGGTGATACTGAATGAGAAGGATAAATGAGAATATATGTGTGATATGCCTAGCACAGTGGCTGGCATATACAGGGTGATCTGTTTAATGTTAGGCGGCTCTGAATATGGTGGACTATGCAGGAGGGTACAGAGGAGAGTAGGAAGACCCAGAAAATGAACACTTGAAAGAAAATTCCACTCTGCAGAGGTTGGTTCATATTATATAAAGTGAATGCCTTTCATTTAAAAAAAAAAATTTTTTTTTAAGTATCTAACTCGGGGGGTTTGGCTTCAGAATTTGCCGGGAGTTAGGGAGCATTTCAATATTTATTGAGTCCTTATTGTATATTAGACACAATAGCTGGCAATGTAACTTATACAGATTATCTCACTAATCCTGTGGGAAGTCAGGTGGTAGATATTACTAGTGTGTCTTCAGGTTCAGAGACATAAACAGTGGCCAAGATCACTCAGACTGTAGGCAGCAGAACCAAACTTGGCTATGTAACTCCAGGATCCCCTATACCACACTAAGTATGTTGCCTCATAAAATACTTAGCTTTTTCAGTCCAAAGACTTGTGAAATTAGAGCTCTGTTGCAGGAACTCTTCAAGGCACTGTGTACCTGGGCAAATAATGCTGAGCCTAGCCAACTCTCAAAGCCACAATGCCAAACTGACCTCAGAATGCACTTTAAAGCACTCTAGGGGCGCCTGGGTGGCTTACTCAGGGTTGGGTGTCCGACTCTTGATTTCAGCTCAGATCATAATCTCAGGGTCCTGGGATGAAGCGTGCTTATCGGGGAGTCTGCTTGAGGATTTCTCTCCTTCTCCCCCTGCCCCTCCCCCCACTCACATTCTCTCTCTCTCTCTCAAATAAATAAATAATCTTTTAAAAAATAAAGCAATTCAAAAGATTGTTCTTTAATTTATTCCTGTTTCTTCTCTTTACACTCGAATTCCAAAGATTAAGCAAGCAAGAGTTTCCCCAGAGGGAGCGGTAACTAATAATAGCTCCCATTTCTGGAGCACTCATCTGTACTGAGTCTGTTCCTAAATGCTTTATGAGGAATGTCATTCATTCATCACCACAACTTTAGGAAATAGGGGCTGCCAGTATTTCCATATTTTAGACAGAGGTTAAGAAAATTGTCCATTTACATACGTGGTGGGGGAAGGGGCTGGAATTTGAAGCTATGATGTTTGACTCTTAAGGGCACACTCTTGGCTACCACAGTCCTCAGCTGGGCACTGTATTTGGTCCTATTATGTGGTGAAGATGAAGTTAGAATTGCAAACACATTTATAAGATGATACCAAAGTTGTTTTTATTTGGTTAAAAGAGGTGTTATTAGTTTGCTAGGGCTGCCATAACAAAGTAGCACAGACTGGGGTGGGGGCTCAAACAACAGAAATTTATTTTCTCATAGTCCTGAAGGCGAGAAGCCTGAGATCAAGCTATCTGCAGAGTTGGTTTCTCCTGAGACTTCACTCCTTGGCTTGTGGATAGCTATTTTCATGTTCACATGTCATTTCCCCCCTACAGGTGTCTGTGCCCTAATCTCTTCTTCTCATAAGGACACGGGTCATATTGGATTAGGGTCCATCTAATGACCTCATTTTAACTTAATCACCTCTGCAAAGATTCCATCTCCAGATACAGTCACATTCGGAAGTACTGGGGGTTAGGACTTCAACAGATGAATTTTGAGGGGATGCAAATTAACCCATAATAAAGGACTAATTAATTTCTTCAGTATTTCTCTCCCTTTGGTTTTTGTCTTTAGCCACTTATTCAGGGGTTGTTTGCACTGACCTTGGGTCTTTTAAAGAAGATCCCGAGGTCATTTATTTACCTGTGCCTTAAAATAGCAAGTGAGTCTTGTATTCCTGCTCTGAATCAGTTCATGCTTGTGGAGGCAGGTATGTGTTAGACAAAAGAACAGGGAAGGCAGACTTTTAGAACCAGCTCTATGACTAAACTTGCCTTGAAACCTTGGAGAAATCCCCTTTCGGGATGTTGGTCTAAATCAAATATTTTAAGCTCAAATATCCAGGGGCTTGACAGGTACAGTAAGTGGAGAAATCAGTAGGCGTGACAAAATAAGGAGTGGTGGGTAACCATGTGAAATTGGAGAACATTCCTTTTCAATGAAGCATACAATTCTCAGCTCCAGCCATTTTGTGCCAGTTTGAAATAAAGGCCAAGTATTGCCAGACTTTCTACGTTTGCAGGAGAGACCATCAAGACTTTTAAATGAAATTTCCCAAGGTTTAAATGTTGACAATTTCAATTTTTTCTCCAAAGACCGAGAGCCAACAGGAATATGTCTGAGGGCCAGATCTGGGCCAGCTGAGATCTTAGTGTCTCTTTCTTGCTCAAAAATGCTCTGATGAAACACAAGATGGTACAGTTGATTGATAGGCACTAAAAAGGAGACATTACTTTAAGTCATGTGGTCCAAGGTTCCGTGCTGACGAGCAAACTCTAAGGGATGAACTTTTCATATATCCATCCTCTTTTCTGCAGACATTAACTCAATTGCATATTTAGCAGTCCCTCCCCCTGCTAGGAATGTGAAGTAGGGTTCTGGGGGCAGCATCAAAATTGGGGTTAGGTTATTATTGGTCTAAACTGGCTGAAAATAAACTGAGTCAGGTTTTATTGATCTATTCTGTGGTCTGTTGTCAAACAGTATTATATGATTGCTGAAACCAAGGGGGAGGAGGCTTTATTGGTTTTGGTGGTAAAGTGATTGGATCTCAAAGCCGTTTGTGGAGTGGTTTTCTTCAGTCAATATTCTCATGGAAAGATCATTCTAGCTTAAGCCAATTTTCACAATCAGACTTCAATAATAATAAATGAAGTTTCTTCTCCCATGTAAAAGGGGTCTTTGTTGGGATCTGGAGTGGCAAACAAGTTTCATTTCATGGGTCAGCTCTTATGGGTGGGAAATAGCTGCCTGGAATATTGTCCTGGGAAAGACCCCCTAGGGAAGGTGTTGTGATATTAGTCTGGTCTGTCCTGAGTATGGTGATATATTTGTCAGTATCCTGATAGTCTCAAGTGACAGAAACCCAATTTCAGGTGGGAAAAATTGTTAACTCACAGAACCCAGGACAGGATATTAACAAGAGAGAGGGTAGAGATGCGGATGGGCCTTGTGCCTTTCAAATTCTGGTGAGCTGAAACAAAGCTATTACTCTAACAAAGCTATTGGCTTCCTTTTGTGGAGGAAATTATCATTCCATGACCAGTCATCTCTTCCCAAGGCAGGTAGTGACGTGAAAATTCTGCGCCGGCTTCCTGAGGACTGCCCACCATGCAGCAGCTGATGAGTTTCCGGGTCCTCTGGGGCATCCGCAAACCCTTTCACCTTGCCCCTGGCTACCTTCGCTGCCAGCCTTTATCAGGGGTTGGAGCCCCGAGATGGAATGACTACAGTGTACCTGAGGAATTTAACTTTGCAAGTGATATCCTAGACTACTGGACTCAAATGGAGAAGGTAAGGAGCCACCCATGATGGGAGGTGAGGACAGGAATGGCCTTACTGGCCTCATCATGCTCCTAGTAGGCTGAGGGGCACAGAACCAGGAAAGTCTTCTGTATCAGCTTACCATTGTGGTGGGAAAAGCTCATGTTTGGGGGTTGAATTCTCAGACTGGCTACTTTCTCACTTCTCTGAGCCTCAGTGGTTTTATCTGTGAAATGGGGATAATCTCATTTAAGAAACAAACAAGATGGTGGGTGAAAATATCACATAATTGTGACCAAGTGCAAAGTTTGTGTTCACAAGGTCAGCAAGTTGATGTTAGTCTGAATTCTTACCTTCATCTAATGAGACTATGAGCCTAACTGGCATTTGTCTCATCAAACTTTGGCTTAACTTGAGGCTACACTCTTAGGGAAAGGACAGATCACCTGATTGTATGAGCATCTGACATCTATAGCAAGTTAGGTCATCTGTCGTTCTGTGAGGATGTCAAGTGCAACTGGATTCCTCCCTATCAACTGCCTACTTGAGCATGGCTTTAGGGTCTGTCCAGAGAAGAAAGTCTAGAGGTTACACATCTCTGCAGAAAAACCCAAGTGCTCGGTTTGTCTTTCCCCAAGAGACAGATCAGAGAGTTAATATAAGATGGAGTCAGAAAGTTAATATGTTAATTAATTGAATTGAAATAAAATAAAATAAATTTTTTTAAAAAAGAGAAGGGTAGAGAAATGTTTAACCTACATTTGTAACATATGGCTGGAGGTCATAAATAGTAAAATGATATATTTTTACCAAAAAAGAGGAAGTTCATATAATTTTAAATTTCCCATGAACCTGCATTTATATGTTAGTATTCAACTACCATGGGGGCTTCCTCCCCACCTCTTTCTTTTTCTTTTCTCTGAATTTCCATAGTAACACCAAGTAAAATAGGGGACTCAATGAGGGAAAGCATTTTTTATATGCTAGGTCAGGCACTTTGCATTTAATACTATGATTAGATGGGCACTCTCATCATCCCCATTTTCCAGACAGGAAAACCAAGGTTCCAAGGGTTTAAATAACACTCAGAAACCACCACATACCCAATAAATGAACAGAATTTGGGTCCAGGCTAAGTCTATAATACTTTATTTAACCTGGTCTTACAATCTGATGATGCCAAACATCTCTGCCTTCAGACTCTAAAATGACTTTTGTCACTGCACTGACCAGTAATCTAGTTAAGAACTTTTGAACCATGAGACATGCTGGAGAGGGAGGAGGTAGAGAGGAAGAAGTGATACCATCACTTTTCCCCTGATTTATCTTTATATAGTCCTTATAGTTAGTGCATCAACCCATGGAGATAACCACCAAGTAAATAGACCCCAGGGATGCTTCATCTTTGTTGGGTTTTATATCTTCATTGTCAATCCTTGCCAATTTCTCCATGTCTCCAAATTCTCCCCACCCCACCCCCCAGGATCCTCATCCCAATATTTATTCTCACAACACTTCTCATCTCTCTGTTTCCACTTCTCCAATTGCCTTGATCATGATCAGTGTCTCTCTAGTGATGCATGGCGCCTGTCACCTAGCTCTGGCTGTCCTTCAATAAACATTGGTGGAATAAAAATTTTGAGACCTGCCTAACAAGCCCCATAGGTCTTGACGTTGTTTCTATGAAAGACCCTTCAGAGGGCCCACTGCAGTCCACTCTGGCTTCCTGGACCTCCCTTACAACTTAACAGGTATCACCCGAGAACTGATCCATGGCCCAAAAACAACACAACCAAAACCATAGTAGAGTGATAGAATTTATTTTAACTTACATTTCAACGTATTTTACTTATAAAATATATTAGAAATCCAACGTTTTTTTTGTGAAATCTTCTGAGTGTGTGCGTGTGTGTGTTGGCAAAGAATTTGTTATAAGACAAAAGAGAGTACCTGGTAAGCCAGACAACATATGTCCAAGCATGGAATACAGACCACCAATTTATAACCCCTGACTATTCTTGGAAATTAAATCCTTTGTTACTCGAGGCTCCTAAGATAGTACACACAACTTTAATTGATTCCTGGAGCAGCCTCCCACATCTGTTCACAAGAGGTCACATTCTGTCCAAATTCATTCATTCATTCATTCATTCATTCATTCAGCTAAGACTTAGTGAGCCCCTACCATGTGCCAATTACTATTCTAGATAATGGGGATAGGAAAGTTAACAAAATGTACAACTTTTCATTTTTTCTCTTTAGACAGTGATTCCCCACTTCATGTCTTAGGAGAGGTGAATACAGTGTTAGTGGAGTTAAATTTGTTTGTTTTGATAAAAATCATAACAGAAGCAAATTTTTCCTACCACCCTTGATGCACCTTAATATTAAATATTGCCCAATAAATAAAGTCAAATAGATATTAACCACAAAGCTGAAAAAACATCCACAAACAGGGGGCAGAGTAAGATGGCGGAGGAGTAGGAGACCTGGATTTCATCTGCTTCTCAGGAATTCGGGGGATAGGGATCAAACCATTCTGAACACCTATGAACTCAACAGGAGATCGAAGAAAAGAATGGCAACAACTCTCTGAACAGAAAAGCGACCACTTTCTGGAAGGTAGGACGTGCAGAGAAGTGAATCTGAGGCGATATTCGGCAGGATAGATGGCAGGGGAGGGGGCCTCTGTCAGCCGCTTCTGGCAAGTGATAGAGCCGCGGAGCACAAAATCGGAACTTTTAGAAGTCGGCTCCGCTGAGGGACGTCACTCCAGTGGCTAAGCTGGGGGTGGAACCCTCGTGGGACAGTGTGGTCTCAGGACCCTCGGGGTCACAGAAAGACCGGGGGTGCCTGAGTGCAGCAGAGCTCCCAGGGATTGGAGCGGGGAGGCTGGCTGCAGAGATGGAGCCAAGGCATGGGCTCTCAGCTCGGGGTTGCCATAAACTGTGGTCAGCGACACAGTCAGGCCACTGCTCCTCCAGCAGGGACCCAAAAAGCGGCAGATCGGGGAGACTCCCCTTCCTCCCCCAGGAGGAGTGGCGCGGGAGTGCACCACAGGGATCTGCTGGGTTTGGAGACTCCACACGGGGTCGGGTGCAAGAGACAGAAATGTTCTGTCACGGGCCAGGTGAGCACGGAGTGCGGCCGGAGACTGGGGAGACGGGAGTAACTGACTACTTTTCTCTGGGGGTGCACTGAGGAGCGGGGCCGCAAGTTCTTGGCTCCTTCAGGGCAGAGATTGGGAGTCTGCCATTTTCACTCTCGTCCTCCATCGCTGTACGGAAAGCTTGCAGGGAACAAAAGCTCCCGAGAGCAAACCGGAGGAGATTGCTTAGCCCGGACCAGGAAAGGGTGGGGCAATTCCGCCTCCAGCAAAGACATTTGGGAACCACAGCAACAGGCCCCTCCCCCAGAAGATCAGCACGAACAGCCAGCCAAGACCAAGTTTACCGATCAATGAGAACAGGCGAACTCCAGCGCTAGGGGAATACTGCAAATAGAATTCATGGCTTTTATACCATGATTCATTAGTCTTTCAAAGTTAATTTTTTTAACTGTTTTTTTTTTAATTTTTCTTTTTCCCTTTTTCAACCAACATCTTATCAATCCCTTTTT